CCGCCTATCACTACCACTGCTTGAGGAGCTGCATGCACTGTTGTCACCACTATTTGTGCTACCAGGTGAAAGAGCTGGACTGCCAAGCTATTTGTTTAGTACACAAATTGTGACCAGTTTGTTATTTTTAAATATTTAAAGACACGATTACAAAACTGACGGGGGAAAAAAAATACAACGAACTCACAGGCTGTAAGTGTTCTCTGCTGCCTGGCTGACTCCAGCTTCCATCATCCCCGTTACTGCTACCGTGTAATTGCTGATTGAACACGTACAAATTCGCTCCACCATCAGAGGCTCTTCTGCCAAAACTGCTTGCTGTAACACAATAACGATTTATTCAATATGTAAAGTTGGAAATAATTTTTCAAAACATCATTAAGTAGGTAAACCTACTTGCTCCCATGGCAGATGGTGGTTTTAACAAATACTGATCTTTGATCTGGAAATTTTGTGGTGGTTGGTTCTGGACGAGAGGCAGATTGAGAGCTAAATTCGTATGCGGTAGCAAGGGTAACTCTGCATTCAATGGTTGGAGTAAATGAGGCGCATATCCTGGCGAATAGCCGTAATACCTGGTATACGGAACGCCCTGAGGCTGATGTGCCGTGTCACCTGGACCTACGGTATGACGGCGCGTTGCGTGGTATGGTTGATTGCTTGGCAGCTGAAGTCCACTTCGTTCCTCTGTTTCCCCACCTTCTGTTTCTCCAAACTGTGAAATGATGAATTCGTGAATTAAATAAAAACTTCAAGTTGCCGTTAAGTACTTTACTCAGAAAAGTATTTGACTCTCGAATCGGCTGCTTTAAATGATCTCCTTCGTTAAAGAGACTCGAACGTTTAATTGAAATAAATTGTTTGGCAGAGATAAGAATTGGTAAATGTCAGTGACGTTTTTTGAGTGATTTGTTATCGCGTCGTTCTTCAAAAATTATCGTGCACGTGATGGTAGCATTTATCTTTGAAGTGTCAATTAAAGGTACATTAAATTTTCCCATTAACTGACGTTTCGGCCAAACCACTCGTTGGTTTAACGTTGTATAAATTAATAAGTAATTCTTTAGCCATTAAAACTTTTTTGTTTCCAACCAGTCGGTCTAATGGACTTGTTTACGAGGGTCAACACTGTGGGTCAATTATTCTTTCTTTCTTTCTTTCTGATGATTAAAGCGTAAATTTTCACTGAACAATGATGTTAAGCTTTTTAGCACAAATATTTATAATCTATAAATAATTGTTACATTTATATTTATATATATATA